GTCTGCCATAAATAATCCATTAAATTAATGGTTCGAAATATAAAATTGATTGTCATTTTCAAAATTTTTCTTTAAAATCTTTTATTAATGTACGCCCTCATTGTATTAACCTTAATATAATTATACTGCACTATGTAAAGTAAATTAATTGAAATTATTAAAAAAAAATCTTTCTAATAAATTTATTATAAGAATTTAACAATATTGTAATTGGTTTTTCCTCCACCTGATGATAATGCAACTCCTATGGAGACGAAAGGCATTGTACAAGAGATGTACTTGTAAAATTGTAACTATTTTGTACGAAAAATAAGAAAAAAACAAATGCGGTAATCCTTCCATAGAATATACAACATAAAAATGTTAGAGAAGAAGGAAAGCAACAGAAAATTGCAAAAAAAAAAATATTATGGAAAAGAAAAAATGGAGTAAAAGAGGGTATAAAGTGAAAAGCATTTTGACAAAATTAAAATTAAATGAAATTCTATTTTGTATATATATATATTTTTATTATTGTTATATGTTGTTATGTTTTTCCTTCTGTTTCTATTCTTTTCCATTTTAAGGAGGTGTAATATAATTAGAAGATATATACAATAAGAGTTCCTTTTCTTTCTTTTCATATATTATGGGTGCATTTCATATACCTACAAATGCAATATATGTACATATATATACTTATACATGTGTGTATATAAATATTTTTATGGAATATTAAGTTTAGGAAAATTTCATTTATATTTTTACTACATTAAAATATTTTTTACTTTTTTTTTTCTTTGTTTATTTTTGTAAAGTTTGTTATTATTGTAATTTAATTTTTTGTTGGTATAAAATTATTGTTGCATATAAATGAATGCACGTGTTGAATAATATTTTGTGATGAATATGAAATTTTTAAGCAACAAACATAAATGCACTTTTATATATATATTTAAATAATTTAAATATATATATATATATTAAAGCTATGTATGTGATTGGAAAGAAATATTTTAAAAAGTTTATTAAGTAGATCTTTTTAAATTAAATACCTTTATCGTAGGTATTTTATATGTATTTATTTATATATGTGTATATATACAGATATATACTTAGGTTCATTTAGATTTTACGTTTTTCTTTGAAATTTTTTAAACATAATTTGTACTAGAAATTGCATTTAATGAAATTATGAGTATATTTATATGATGAAATCATTTGAATAATATTTTAAAATTAGTTTTTTGAATTTTAATATAATTTAAGTGATTCATTTATTTGCCTAAGTTATATTATAATTGATGGAATTTTGATTTGTTAGTATACAGGGTGTTTCACATAAAGTGGCTATGGGTCGCAGGGGATTCAGATATACTTGAGTATTCGCGTTATTAGAGATAAACAAAAATGTTATATGGGTTAATTTCTAGATCTCATTATGGCGAATCAAAAAAAAATAATATCACAAATATACGGGAAATTTCCAATTTTTTTTTAAAAATTTAAAAAAAAAACAAAAATGTTGACTTTTGCGAGTTCTATTTGGAAAACTATGGCACAAATCAAATTGATTGTAAGACCAAAAATAAAGAGCAATCAATCGTCTGTAAAAGAAGACTGCGATGGTTTCTATATGTTACATGCGGTTCCGAAGAAAGAAAATCACTGTAGCTTGGAAACAGTTCTGATTTAATATTGATTTCCAAATAAAAATTTGACCCTTTATTGATCCTCTACCCGATGGTTTATGGCTCCTAACTTGTTGGTGAATCACCCTATATATTTAAATCGATTATATTATGTATCGATTATATTATTTAAGTATTATTTTAATTTCAAATTTACGATGACCACGCGTGGTGAACAAGAAACAAATGAGCAATTAATTTGGGAAAAGGAATTGTTAACGTGAGCAACATGATTCATTAAATAATTAAAATAAAAAAAAACTATTACGTTCATAAAAGCCAAATAAGTGTATAAGAATTTTTGGTATTTTTAGAAATAAATTATAATAAAATTTTTTTTGCTTAATTAAATAAAGTACATATTATTATTTAATTTTTAGAATTATTTGAACAATTTCATGAATCTAGATTAAACTAAAGTGCGTAAATTAACACTTTTAAAATACAAGCTGTCAATTATATGTCACGCAATACTATGAAAGTATGTACTTGCGTGCTAACACCATTTCTTTATTGTTACAATAAAAATATTCAGATATTGTTCTGTATACTAATTTTTAATAAAAATATATAAAAAATATTAAGTAGCGGTTCACCATTTTGTAAACAATATATGTACATTATAATAGTTGCAAATATATTAAGGAAATGCTTAATTTGTATATCACATTATGAGCAATTATGAAATTTATAAATTAATTAGTAATAAAATTAAAATTTTGTATAATAAACTTTACAAAGTATAGTTCTAATTAAATTGATTTTAGGATTCGTGACAAAAAATAAGGAGTATATTTTGTAGAAATCTTTAATTTTATTAACTTTTAAAGCGTAAAATTTACAACATACAACAAGCAAAGAGAACGAGACTGCAAAACTATTTTTGGGGTAGTGTGGAGCATTAATCTATTAATAAGGGAAAGTTTTGTCGAACATAAGTTAATCGAATTCATTGGGAGTGCCGTCTATGATCGATGATTGCTCACCTTACAAAATATTCTACAATAATTATAACTTGTAAATCCTGGTCGGTATTCTCTTACGTATAAAAGAGTATGGAAGACTATTAAGCGACTACTGTGTTTTTCTTGCTATTACTATGGTTTTAGAATTTTGTTCTATTTAACATAATTTCTGGATTTCCATGTATTTCTCAATAGAAAATTTTTTTTCTGCTGTCATTTTTAAGCAAACAGATTTTGTACAGGATAATTTTAATAAAATAAACAAGATTTTAAGTTTTAATACAATTAACAAGTTTGCAGTTTGTCTTACCAAGAAAATTAGCTCCAAAACAATATTGATTTACGATTTTGAAGTTATTTTTCTCGAGTTTTTTTTATCAAATTCTTGTACCTTGTTCGAGCAAATAAATTTTCCTTACTGAAAAGCTTCAAGTAACTTTCATTTAATGGGACAAAAGAAGTCTTCTGTCATGTGGAACATTCGTTTGTATTGCAATGCAATTGAATTCAATTTTAAATTTAATAAATTTGGCCAACTGGGATTTTAAAACAGGAAAACATTTCAGAACGAAAAGATAACATGGTACACTATGGAAGAATTACTATTAGTTTAGGATTTTTAATTTTTAACTTTTGTTTTGTAATTTTTAATAATATGAAATAGTTCAAATATTTTCCGATATAAGAACCCATTTAATTTTAAATAAGATTCAATTTAATTGAATTTGGAAGAACTGAAAACCATAAAATTTTTATGGTTAGAGGAAATATAAAAAGCATTAAATATAAATTAAATTTTCTTACTTTTATTTACAACCCGTTTAACTTTAATAGAAAGTTCAGACATTCTTATACATATATACGTGCAAAAACCTGCAAATAACGGACTTTATTTTTGGTGTTTAATAAAATATTATTATGTTCTTAATACCTTAAGGATATCTTCTATAGATTCAACGTTTTTTTACCCATACTAATAAATTACATTTTTTTTTTTTGGAAACTAAAGAAAGGTAAATACCCTATAATTGATTTTACAGGAAGATCTTTCATTTAAATTTCATATACCTTACAGCTAAATAAATTGTTGACTTCGGAATAAAAAAAAATTCACAATCCTTATAAGGTATAATTTTTCGAATTTTACTTATGTGGACAATATTAAGGTGATAACATAATTCTTATGTAATTTAGAAGGTTATATACGAGTATATAAGAGAAGAACAATTTTTAATCAAATGATGCTAAAAAATTTTATGTAATTGAAAAAAAGTGAAAATATTTATGATGTGTCCTTAAAGATGATTACGACTTGTAAGAAGTTGAAAAGGGACCCTTCTTTTTCTTTTTAGAAAAAAAAACACAAAATTTAATCAAGATTGTATTTAAACTTTATACATGAGGACAATATCAAATAAATCAAAAGCAATGACATTTTATTTCTAAATTATGCTTTTTTTTCGTAAGCCACAAAAAGGATATTCCCTTGAAGCACTTAAACAATTATACATTTTATTTATTTGAGTTTTATTTGTATTAAACGAACATTCAAAATTATATTTATTTTTAGGTATTTTTTTAATATACCTAAAAGTATGCAATTTTATTTACTTTCAAGTTCTAAATAAACTGATCCTTTCTTCATTCTATAGATTTCAATTTAACGAAATTAGACTGCTTTCTTATGAAAATCGGTTTGATATAGAGAATTTTTAAGATATTTAAATTTTTTATAATTCTGTTATTGTTTACTATTGAAAGGAAGTTCGTTGATATTCTAAAGAAATATTTTGAAAATATTCAAAAGGACATGAATGCATACAATATTTGTGAATTTTTAATGATGTTTGCGAAACCTTTTTTGGAATATAAAATTCTTTTCCAAAAAAAAAAATTATTTTTTTTAATGAAATGCCAAGAATCAAGAAATAAAATATTAAAAAAAAAAAAAAGGATTTATAAAAATTCAGGTGTACAAAATAAAATTTTAATTTTTTTTTGGTATTATATAAGAAGGCTTTCCCAAATTAAAGATAAGAAAGGGACTATTTAAGTAACAAGAAATTTAAAATAAAATTTCGAATTTTCAGTATCTAAATTAAAGAAGTTTTCCCTTATATTTTCAGAATACAATTAACGAATGAAGATTTTTCAACTTTTCACAAATATTTTTTATTTTTTTGAATAAATTTTTGTGGCAATTTTATTTTTGTTAAAAATATGTTTTTTAGGGCTGTTTCTTCTCCTTAGTTCAATTTCTTATTTGAATTATTAATTGAAGAAAAAATTAAATTAGGCCCTAAGAAATTTTATCAAAATCTTCAAATTTTGTAAATATAATGAAATAATAAAAAAATATTCTTACCGGCATGGTTTGACTACCGTGAAGATTCGTAATGGCCGTTTGAGCTTCTTGATGAGAACTAAATTTAACAAAAGCGCAACCTGAAAAAACACAAAAAAAAAAACAAAAGAGAAAATCAGTTTAATTTAAATTGATTGGATATACAAAATTTATTATAGATTGTAAGATTACTATAGGATAAAATATAGAAATTTACTATAGGATTAAAATTTATTTTGAATAATTTCCTAATGTTATTTTGTCATCATAATAGATTTTATAAGTTATAAACAAAAGGAAAATAAAAAACTATAATTTAGGAACCGCACGGCTTAATTTATTCACCTAATTCAATTCAGTTCAATTTTTTTCACCGAATAAGCACTATATATTGCAGCATTATAAAACACGTTTTATTTTAAATATTTTCCAAAACTTAAATTCTAGAAATTTGCCTACTTTAATTTACCTACTAACGTAAATAGGAACTGATAATGCTGAATATTTTCTCATTTCATTCAAATATAAAATATTAATTAAATATTTTATTAATATTAAACATAAAATATTAAAAAATGATTTAATAATCAAATGACCTATACATTTTTAAATTATGTTGAGAGATTGAACGATTTTACAAATAATAACTTAGTTAGGAGTGAAAATAGAAAATTTTCAACTATTACTCTGTTCAAAAATAATTTTGAAAATTTATTACTTTTTATATTTACCGAGAAAAACAATAAAATTTCGAAGAATCGGCTTTCTTAACTATAATTAATTATACAACATTCTAATGGACGGACAAATAGAACATAAAAACTATTTTTACCTCAAAAATATTTTATAAAAGCTCAAAAATCCAAGATAGTTAAAAGTTAATGACTTTAAAAAAAACAGATGTGGCATTTCATGTCCAAATATATAGCATATATAGAAATATGCTTGTGTGTGTGCACATGTCTGTTCGTACGTTAATATCTATATAATGGGAAAAGTCATTTATGCTCTGTTATGCATTAAAAAAAATTATTTCTTAAAGATTTAAGATTTTTTATATGTACATCTATTCATTGAAATTTTTTTTTATTTTTGACCTAAAACTCTATAAGAAAATAATATAAATAAATATAAAATAAAAAACAAAAAAAAACATAAACAAGAAGAAAAAAAAAATGTAAAATATAAAGAAAAGGAAAAAGGATAAAAAAAAAGTAGAGATAAAGATAAGAATTAAGGACGTGTTTGTTTGCACAAAGAATCTCACAAAATCTTAATATATTTATAAATATATATCTACATATACTTGTATATGTTCTCTAAAATATGAAAACACTAACCATTTTCAAAAAAAAATATACAAGTACACAAATATATTTAAAAGTAATTTATAAATAAATCTAATGTGTTCTGATCATGTAGGTACAGGGTGATTTAAACTCAATATACACGTAATATTTTTATTGATTGACGATGTGGGAATATAAAAATGATAATGAGGAATTATTTAAATATTTTAATTATTAATTAGGGTTCAAAAGACTACCCAGTTTATTATTGTTTTGAAAACTTACAGCAATTTAAATATCAAATTAGTTAAATTATCAAATAGTTGAATGTTATTATGATTTTTAAGTGATTGAATACTACAAAATTTAAAAATTAAATAGAAAATAGTTAGAGTGGAGCAAAATATTAAAGAATTTTGACGATATTCATAGACAATGACTTTTACACCTTGTATATTTTTTAAATAATTGGAGAAAGGGATATTATTAAATATTTAAAAAAAATATTTAGAGTTGGTATTTTATTTAATTAAATTTGCTGAAATAAAATAAAATTTCAAAATATTAATCTGTTATCCTTAATTTTCAATCCTAGTTACTCATAGAATCAGTTCGTTTCTGAAAAGCTCGGTCTGTTTCTTGTAAGGGTGGGTGATTTTGTAGATCCAGCGGAATCACAACAGGCATTATTGTTGACCCGGCGGAAATATACCGGGTCACAAGAATGGGAATAAACTATTTGTGTGAATGTAATTAAATATTATGAATTACATACTCATATATGAATATTTTTAGAATAAAATTTAATATAGCATTGATGTGTATCAACAAGACTAACATTATCTAAATTTTTAGGAAATAAGCTAAATTCTGATAACCACCAACATTAAATAATTTTGTTCAATGCCATTACTTCATTTATTGGCCAAAAATTTAAATGGCGGTATATTGATCCAAATGAGAATAATAATAAGATTTGTATTTCAGGGTCTTTTTTAAAATGTTCAAATTGTAATACATATGAAAACCACAGTTTTGCTCATTTTGGAAAATTGTCGCACAGTTTAAAATTTTTAATCAAAAATTATGAAATTTTATTGATATTTAATTAATTAAATTATTTATTAATTTAAACAACTAGATACTCGTATATACAAAATTAATATTAACAAAATTTAAAAGATTTTAATTTATTGAAATTTTATTTTCTATTAACAAATTCAGAATAACGAATATAAGGAGATTATTAGGGATCTACAATCAAAAATTCAAAACTCTTATACTGATTTTGTCACCGTTCATTTAAAATTATATGAAATAGTTAAAAACAGCTTAAAAATAACTAATATTCAAATATTTTCTCCATTTCTAATATTATCTAAGAATATTGCGTTACCTTTTTCTCATTTGTAATTAAAAAAAATATACGAATAATAAACCAAGTCAGGAGTGCACTATGTACTCGTATTTTTTTTATAATGATGCACTATATAACCTTATATATATGTGTATATATGTATATAAATATTTATATTTTTAATATAAAATTAAATAAGGATAAAAAAAAGGTATATACCAAAAAGAAAGGACTATTTTCTTTTACTTTTTTATGTGCTGTGATTAATCAGGTCGACTATCCATTTCTTACTTTTTGTTATTATTATTTTGTTCTTGCTGTTGTTGTTGTTGTTGTTACTCTTACACTTTATTTCTTATTCTTGTAAATTAAATATTTTTTGTGTTTTGTTTTGTTTTTTTTTTATCTATTATAAACGAATACTGAATATAATACTTGTTAAGAGTGCAATTTTCCTTTTTAAATATAAGGATTTGAAAACAAGAGAGAAATTTTCTTATGTACAATATTTATTTTTGTAAATATGTATAAACGTATATATATACATTGTATCAAAAGAGGGCTATTTTTAGACAAGGTGATGATGATAATAATTTAATGATTTTCTTAATTTTTTGTTATTTTTTTTTTTTTTGTAGATAAAAGATAAGAATTCTCACAATTGTTAATAATGTGATAAATTTTTAAAGTATATAAACAATTTACCTCTATATCTTCTTCTTGTGTAAAAAGGATAATATCTTAATTAATTTTTTTGTTTGTTTTTTTTTTCTTTGTTTTCTACATGCTCCTGTAAAACATTTTCTTAACACTAAATTGAAAATTTTTATTTTTTTCTTGTTACTAGCTACAATATTGTTGTTGTATCCTTTTAAAGAGAAATTTGTTTTGTTTTTTTTTTACATACATATAAATATGATTAGGTTGATATAATATAAAGGAATTTTGAGAAAGGATATTTTCTTTTAAAAATATTTTAATAGTTTTAAATTTATGTTTATAGTTTATTTTAAATTTTATGTGCTAATTTACACTTTTTTTTATTTAAACTAGAAAAACACTTATACTACATTAATTATAAAGAAACTATGTATATGTTATATACATATATGTATGTACGTACTTATTTATAATGTAAATATTTAATTTATTTTTATTGAATTTAATATTATATATTAATTAAATTATTATGTTTTCCTGAGGGAGGGATATAAAAGGATTTTTTTTTTTTTGTAAGATTATTTACAAATTTCTTATATGATTTTATTTTTATATATACATATTATATGTGTATAGAAAGTAAGTGTTAAGTAAGTGAGTGTATGTTTACAAATATAAGAGTGTCAATGATTTTGACATTGTTGAATGAGCATTTTTATATATTTAATGAGTAATATAAATTTGTGTAAATATTTTGTTTTTAAATATAAGAAAGAATTTTATAGTGTCATAAAAATATAATTTAAATATTGTTTAATTTTTATTATAAATTTATTTCTTATTTTGGAATCATTATATGTATACTGGAATTATATTAATAATTATTGGGAGGATATTCAGAAAGATTTTTGATTGTTATACTAACTTTATTACGAGATAAAAGTTTTGTATTAATTTCGGAAATTTTCTAAAAGTATTTTAACGTAATTTATAAGATATATTAAATTTATCCTGTTAAATTTATTAAAAACAACAAGTGTTAAAGTTGATTTTATTCACACTCTTAAATATTATTATGGAAATAATATCAATTTTGTGATTAATACCACAATTTAATAAGAAAACGCTACGTTTTTGTGTAAAATATATTTTTCTATAGACTATTTTTTTTGGATAAAATACCATAAAAGTGTAAATTATTTCATTCGTAAAAGAATTTAACTAGATAGCGTACAAATTTTATAATATTATGAAATAAATTGTGTTCACACTTTTTGAGTTTCAAAATTTTTTTCATTAGTTTTTCAGTGTATAGAACTTTATATGATCAATTAATGTACTCAACTATTTTTGAATATTAAATTTTAGTTATTATTTTTTACATTGCATAGATACTTTGATTTAATATTATTTGATATTATTTTTGTTTGAAATTTTTCAATAATAAAATTACTATGTTTTCTATGTAACACGTAATTAATTTAAACTTTTAGAAAAAATCGAGCTATATGCAGATATAAGATCACTTAACAGACTCTTTCACTCATTTTTAGATTATAAATTTAAATTCAATTTATGTATAATTAAACAATTTTTTTTTTTGTAGAATTTTTTACATTTTATAATATAAAATCCACTCATATAACAATTATGTAGCATGTACAATTTATATATTTCATTTTGTTATACAAATAAATCACTTTTAATAATTTTTTTATTTACTTTATAAAATTTTTCTATTTCAGAAATTTCAACGGATTAATAAATTTTAATTAATATATACCAAAATTTTATTTTAATAATTATATTAACAAATATATACCGATATAAATAGTAACCGTAATGTACACATGAATAATTATATTTTATAATTGTTATACATATACATATATATTCACATTGAATATTTTTCTTTTTTTGCAAAATTCTCCAGAGGCAGGAAATGTACACGCACACAAATATATTTACAAAACTAACTTTCCGTATATATATATATATATATTATTAATTTATTAAAATAAATATATTTTATATTTCTATCAAAAAATTTTAAAATTTATTTTAAATTTTCCAAATTTAAAGAAAACCAATTACATTTGTTTTATAAAAAATTTACACTTCTACTAAAATATTTAAAAAAAAAAAATTTTATTTAATTAGAAGAAAATCTGGAAAATATCAAAACTTTTTATTATACACTTTTATTACATCACTCCAATTGTATGAGTATAGAGAGTATGTTAGGAGTAATTATTTTTCTTTTAATTCTTTTGTTTTGTTTTTATTTTTTCTCTATTTTAATATAGAAGAATTTGTATTTGAAACAAATAGTATATTAGCAATTTAAAGACTAAAATTCTCATTTCGATTTTCAAATGATTAATTTGTGAATTTGTTTTGAAAGAAAAATTTCTAAACAATTTTTTTTTTAATTGTATTTCTATATATTATATTAAAAGTGTTAGTAAATAATTTGGGTGTATTTGTGTTTGTTATAAATATTTTTGATTTAAAAAAAAAAAAAATCTGAATACATAAAGATGAAAATATTTTGATAATTTTGTTGCTATTATTAAATCTTAAATGATTACGATAAATTTTGCAGAATAGTTCTTCATAAAATTTAATAAGTCTTAATATTTAAATTTATGCTCGAATATAACAGATTTATATATATGAAAAATTATAAAGAATTTTTGAGTTTCTTATTGAACATTTATAAAGTTTATTGATATTTGTTCGTATAGCATTCTGAAAACTTATTGAAACTAAAGGAGCTTGTTAACAGGGCTACTTACTATTAAATTTTTGTTTTTTTAGTAAAGGCCGTACGAATCATTTTATCATTACTTATTTGGGCGCGTTTATAACTGAATCAAAGTAATGACATAATTAATTATGTATTTTCACATTTTTATTATTATTCAAGACTTCTCCATTATTTCAAGTTCTTTGCTCGAAAATTTCAGTTATTATAATCATTTTGCCACTACAAAATTTTTAAATTATTCTTACGATATATATCATAAATAGGAAAAATATGAAAAAGTAAAATTCATAAAAAAGATTAGTATAAAATTCTGTTTACAAAATGATATGAAAAATGGTATATCATGAGAGCTACAGCTGATTATTTCATTGTATTTAAAATTCGGATTTTAATTTCGGAAGACCCAAAAAATTTTTGTTATAATTATTAACAGATTTAATTGGAAAATCATTAAATTATAGAATTTTTTCAAATCTCCAACTAGAAACATGAATAGTTCCCTTCCAGATATTTGTGGATAATTTGGTACGATGTTTAATTACACTTATGTTATAATTTTGCGTTTAGTACAGTTTACGTATTCATTCATTTTTACATTTGATTCCTTGTTGAATACATTTCGATCGAAACGAAATCTTAAATGAAATCCAAATTGAATTTTTATTAAAGATTTGGACTTTTTACAACGTAAATATTTAATTTTGGTATTCAATTTTTATAATCTTTTATTTTTTTCCAATATCATAGATTAAGTCAGAAAGTATAGAAAAAATTTTTGTTTTAATTATAAACAATTATAAACAAAAAAATGTTTTATACACATTTTTAACATAAATATATATAAGTATGTTGTACATGTACATACTTTATCGATTAATACGATTTTTGTTTTGTTCTAGAGTTTTGATTTCTATATAACGTTAATTGTGTATGCCGAAGATTTTAATATGTATATTGTACCTTATACACATAATTATAAAAAGAACAAAAAATTTAGATTTTCTAAATCAAACTATCATTTTATTTATGTATGTCTGTATGTATTTTGTAAACATTAGAATTTTATTTACATAAGAAAAAATATCAAAATTTTGGAAAAATAATTTTTTTTTTTTTTTTGGGTTCGATTTTGTTTTTGTTTATTCTTTCACCTTATACTACATATTTAAATGAATTTTCATTTCTTAATTTATTGTAAATTTTATTTTTAAATAATTTTGTATAATTATAATAATGTAATAAATGTTTATATTAATTCTATAATTAAAAATAGAATAAAATCATTATAAATTCCATATTAATATAATAAAAATATTCGAAAATAATATTTATTAATTCTATATAGTCATTCTATTGAATGTTTTTAAAAGAAAGTGTAAAAAAATATATGTATAAAGAAAATAATAAAACAAAGCAATCCATATATAAGGCAAAAGGTAGAATATAGCAGTGCCATAAGGTAAAAATCGATTACTTAAGAATATTTTGGAAAATAAATTTTCATTTTGCTATAAGTAAAATTTTCAACTTTCCATTTCGAAACGATTTTCAAGGTTCAAAGGAAACGATTTTAAAATTTTTCAATATTCGATTTTATTTATAAGTTACAGGATATTTATTTGGATCCTTTAAGAGAAATCTTAATGAGTTTTGGAATTTAAAAGTGAATTTCAATTAAAAATTTTCACATAAAAATTATAATGAATGCGACATAGTATATAACACAATGAAGAGTATAACATTCTTTGAAATGTGACGACTTGGTAATTATAAAAAATGCTTCTCAAAAAAATTATTGAGTCATAAAAAAGAACTGTAATACTGATCAAAACTCCTTGAAAATTCTTCGTATCATGGCACACATTGAGTTTGAAATGGCCGAATTTTTTAAAAATTTTTTTTGGAAAATACAAATTTAATGATTTCCCAATTGTTGTTATTCATAATTGATAAGATTTATGATACTAAAATATTTTCATTTTTATCTCTTTATTTTTATTCAGATTAGTTATGTCAGACTCGTTTCAATCAAGTATCTCAACAACCTCAACTTTTCTTTTTCTATAATCAAATTAATTTGTATTAATTTAAAATTCTCAAATATTTTATTTTATTCCTTATTTCCAAGCTTCCTTTATTATAAAATTTTTTTCTAAAATTTAGAATTTTTCGAACTATTTAAGTTTCATTGCAAATATTTTTCATTTCGATTGAAGTTCTATACCTCAGATTTTCGTATATTGATGTTAATCAATGAAAAAGTATGATTTTATAACACTTTATTATAAGTATTGGCGGAAAAAGTAGTGTAAAGAGGAAGGAATTAATTTTGGTTTTTTATGATCATACCATTTATTTTTTGATTATTCAATGCTTTAACTTTACAGTAAAAGGATAAAAGTAATTTTTTTAAAAATTGAAGTAATAAAGAAATTGTTTATAAAAATTTTGTTTTTAGATTTGCTTATATAAACATATAATTAATATTTTATTGACATTCCTATATCTTATCGCTACCATAAAGATAACCTTATCTTATAATATAATATCAATATTTAAGTTTTATCTAGGTGGCAAAAATATCAATTTAATTTCAAGTATAATAAAATATTTGGGGTTATTTTAAGAAGCGCGCCATTATTTGACATATGTTCTTAGGTAAAATTTTGGTGGAATACGTAAGTGGAATTTTAGAATTGGGTATTAATTGAAACATAAATTGCCATCGTATGTGTCAAATTTTATATTTGTCATAAATAAGTTATAATTATCAAACTTTGACTTTCCGCACTTTCTTTAAGAGACAATAATATTATTGCTATATTAGATACATAAGGTTTTCCGATAAGTAAGTTAATAAATGGATGGTCAGAAAACTTTCTAGTAGCGAAGTCCTAGAATCACAACCACAATACGGTAATATTTCCGATATTTCAGTTTATTTTGGGTTTCGAACATTTGAGTTTCAATTTTGTATTTGAATTCGAAATATCTGAATTTTTGATATTTGTGTTTAGTTTGTAATATAAAACGACGAATTATTTTTGAACTGAAAATATTTTATATGTTATTATATATGATTTATGAATATATGTATGCATGTATGTGTTTATTATAAGTATTTAATTTCAATTTTGCAAAAAAACACCTATACATATATGCATATACTTATATATATATGTATATGCATATGTATATAGAATTCAAAAAATTATTACTAATATTTTTTAACGTTAGTACAAACATATTTAAAAACATAACAAAAAAAAAAAAACCAAGATAAAAAACACAAGTACATATTTAAGCGAAATGAGTATTATGAGGTTCACAAGAAACATAAAAACAAAAAACAAAACTTACACAAAACAAAACTGAATATAAATATAAAAAATTATAACAATATAAAAACAAAATACCAACATAAAATCAACAAAAAAAAAACAAAAACAACAATAACAATAATAATAACAATGAAACAATTTTTATTTGAATTTTTTTTTTTGCTTTTTTATTATTCTTTAGAAATTTTCTCATTTCAATTCTAATACAATTTTTGTACAATTTTAGTACTATATAACTGTAATTATCATTATCTTTTTCATTATTATTATTATCATTATTATTTTTTTTTTTAATTAGTTATTTTGATATTATTTATTTGTTATGCTTACCCTTGCTAGAACCGTCTGGTCCTCGTAATATTGTACACTCTTCAATTGTTCCGAATGGGTTGAATAATTGTCTTACATCGTCCTCCGTTTGTTGTTTACTAAGCATGCCAACGAAAAGTTTTCGATCTAAATAAGAATATAAAAAAAAGTAAAAAAATAAAGAGATGTGGAAAAAAAACGTATAAAGGAAAAAAAATTAAAACAGAACAAAAAACCAATAACAAAACAAAAAAAAAACAGAAAAATTAAAAATCCCAAATCACACAAAAAAAAAAAACAGAAAATTAAAATCAGAAAACGAGAAAATTACAAACAAAAATTATTATATATTTTTCCAAACAAAAAAAAAAAAAATTATAAACTGAAACACAAAAAAAAAACACGAAATTCATATAAATTTAAAATATAAGAAAAGAAAATCATAATGTAAGTAAAGAGTGTAGTACAAGAAGAATTGTACTAGAATAAATAAAAAGTACGAGAAAAAAAAATTATGGAATATGAAGAATACGAAATATAAAATGAACAGAAACACAAACATAAGAATTAAACATGAAAAAAAGAAAAAAAATTAAACCCAGTGCTACACAAAACGAAAATATAAAACGTAACGTAAAATTTTTCGTTATGTAACAAAAAATTCTATTAAATTTTCGATGTACATATTTTGTTAAATAACGAACAATATTAAGATGATGGCATGTTTTAAATGCTCTACTTATAATAAAAAATATCTCAAAAACTAAAACAACAAAACAATACCAAAATTATGTTATATAGTAGTCACAACATAAAATTTACAAAAGGCTTTTTCTTAACAAAATATAAACAAATCAATGTAGAATCCCAGAACGAAGAAAAGAAAATTAACAGAAGATATCGACTTTAATTTGTAACCCTTTGTTAGTGGCTCTGAAATTAGAACACAATTATTGGGGCCACATTCTGTTTTTTTTATATTTCTTAAAAAAATCTTGTACTATAAGGGAAAAAACTTGTACATTTTTTTGTTTATATCTTGTAAAAAAAAATAAATTGAATTTCCAATTGCATTATTATTATTTTTTGTATTATGTATATCTAGGCCCATATAGAATAGCAAATCGAATAAAGCAAAATTTCCGATACTTGGCTAAAACGAAATAAGCACGTCTTAGTCGGTTTTAATTTCATTCCATAAGTTAATAATGTGTTGATATAAAAAATTTTATTCCTAAGTTCACAATGGCGTAGCAATATACGATATTTATCTTCGATTTAGTAGAATGCCTTCACAATCTGAACAGAATGTATGTATATTCATGCAATTTTAAAGTTAAGGTATTTGTAAATTTTAGTGAAAAGTTTATAATTAGTCATAAGAAGAATCTATTGAGAATAACAAAGGATTTTTGTAAAAATAAAAATTGTTTTAAAGTTTTAATTTTAATCTATACGTTTCAGCTTTTTGTAGCACTTATTCAACAATAAATATTTTTTTAAATAATTTTTAAGATTTTCATGATTTTTATTTAATTAAATTAAATAAGAAAAAAATAAATAATTAATTAAAACGAGTAAAATATTTATTTTTATTTTTCTGTTACTAATAAGCTGAACTATTATTTTTTTTCGTCAAATTTTGTAAGAGTAAAAATTTTCATAATTAACCCAATACAAATAATATGTAATTATAATAATTATTCTTGCGTTATAACGCAAGCATTACGTATTTAATTTTTTTTTATAACACTGTGTTAAAGCAAAAAATTTAAAATTAAGAAAACGAAAATATCATACAGGAATAACAGAGTAAAGTGAAGAAACAAACCGAATAAGAACACAAAACAAAACAACAACAGAACACAAAAACAGAAAACAAGAAAAAAATCAAATTTAATACAAACAATGTATGTAAGTATAAAGAGAGCGAGAAACAAAAACTAAATTTTTTTTCTCTGATATTTATTGTTTTTTCCCATTTTTTCTGTTTTACTTTTCTTTCTTTTTTTTTCTCTTTTTTGTTACAGGAATGATCTCACATTATAAATTATACACATACGTATATACATTTTATGTATGCAAATATAAATATGTATTTAATACGACGTGTTCTTTTTTAAAAGGAAATAAACAGAAGCTGAGGAAAAAATTAAACAAAAAAAAAATAAAACAACAAAAGAAAAACCTCAAAACAAAAAAAAATCCAAAAATAAATTTTGTTTACATGAAGCGCAGCAGTAATATACGAAAAACTCACAAGTAACAAAACGTTAGAAATGAAAACAAAAAAAACAAAATAAATTTATGTATATTTATAAGTAGGTAAGTATGTATGTACTTATATCAAAAAGTATTGAAAAATTAAAAATTACAAATAAAAAAAAAGAAGAAGAAAAAACAGAAATTATTATTGGAAAAAACTAAACAATAAAATAAAAAATCGAAATGTATAAAATATGCTTAGATGTTTGAATGTATGTAAAATTAAACATACATTAAACATATGCACATTATCGATATACATACATATATTATGTATATACATATGTGTGGTATTTCTCCAGTAGCAGATGTCGATATTTAAATGAAATCAAGTAAAACAAAAATAATAACAAAAAAAAAAACAAAAAAAAATTTTTCTTTTTATTTCGATTTTTTCGAAAAATCAAAATCATCCAAAAAAATTAAATTTGCATATAAAAAAAAAATTTCTTTTTTAACATAAAAAAAATTCATCTTACATAAGATTTATAGGCATTAGTATGTATGTATGTATATATGTGTGTATATGCAAATTTGCATGTAATTCACATAATTTCGATTTTGTTTTTGTTTTTCACATCATCTTATTTTTATATGAGTAAAATTTCCTATACGAAAGATTTAAATATTAAAAAAAAAAGGGTGCAAGAAATAGGTAAACTAAAAATCCTACACAATGTAAGTACTTACATGAGTACATTTAAAAAAATTTTTATTACTTATGTAATAAAGTACTTATGTAGTGTGTGGTTGATATTTATTTAGGTACTACATACATATATTGGGTATATATATTATTATAAATCGTTATTAGTTTTTAAAAGGAAAAAAAAATTTAGTTTTTTCAAAAATTATATAAGAAAAAAGCTGTCGTCGGGTCAAAATTTAATAAGATTTTTAGGTACGTAGTCTTAGTTGGCCTAATAATAATTATTTCGGCATTTTAGTAAGAATGAGTATATAATTACGCAAATAAGCTCACCTATACTGAACGTGGGTGATTCAAAATTAAAATTAAAATTTTAAGAAACTCTTAAAGACTTATAGGAATATAAAGAAAAAACAACAGTTGCACAAAATAAACATCTTTTTCGAATTCAGTTGCCGAAGATCCACATTCACAATGGACTTTAATTCTGAGAGATAATGTAAAAGAGACAAGTAATGTAAATGATTATTATTATTTTGATTAAAGGAGTTGATTCAGCCGTATCAAATTTGTTTTATTTATGGAGTATTAAAAGAGTGAATGGGTAAGTATATGATTTGATAAATTTAGGAAAAATTAGACAATATGAAAATATTAGTAATAAGACAATTTGATAAATTTAATTGAGAAAATGAGTGAGTAAATTATTCGAGAATTTTGTCGGACTCAATGATTATAGATAACGTCAATATTTTAAATAATACCATATCTACTATAAGTATTGTTTTGCCTTTAAAACAATAGCAACTAAAATAATGAAAATTTAAAAGCTATATACGCAATTCTTTATATGAATTTATAAGTGTTGCAATCTTAAAATGAGTCAAAGTTAAAAATTTGCATTTGTGAGACATACAATTAAAATAAATTTAATGATAAGTGTGATATATTTAAAAAATAAAAAAAACTGCTTTTTTTTAATTATTTTTTGTCAGAATTCAAATAAAAAGAAAAATATTTTGAGTTGCTGTTGCATATTAAGTAATTTTATTGTTACCATAAATGCATTGAGAATTCAAAATTTTTTTTATTACACTTTGTATAGCATTTTAAGTTTTATGAACGTTGTTCATATTTTTAATATTTTAAGGAAGTGGAATAGATTTTTTTTTGTTTTTTTTTCTTGTTTTTCATCACATTTTTTACAATTTTATATTTTTCTTTAATATTTAACTTTTTAATAGTTGTTGAATGTTGAATGAAAAGTTGATGAAAATTGGAAAATTGTTGAAAAATACTATTTGTATTTTCTTGATTTACTTTAAATTTTCTTTAATTTGTAAGAAAGAAATTTTATAAATTTTTTTTTATACTGCATGTTTTTAATATTGCGATTGCAAACAATTCTATATGGAAAATTTAATGGATTCGTTGCTTTTATTATATTTAAATTGATTACACGCGAGAGCATATCAATTTATTTTTTAAAAACAAAAACAATAAGAAAAAAATAAAAGTTTTTTATAACTTTTTTTTTCTTGTTTTCTATATGAAACTTATTTGGAAAATTGTTTATAAAACAATTTTGGAAACCTTATATGTTAATTAAAGAACTTGAAAAATTAATTGTTTTACAGAAAGTAGAGAGAAAGAAAGAGAGAGGAAAAGAGAGAGAGAAACGGAAAACCAAAAGGAAAAACAAAGAACTTTTTTAAAAATTTTGTTTGTTTTTTTTTATGAAAATTTAATTTATTTTTCTATTGAAATAAAATTTTCAAAACTTTATAAAATTTTCTTATATGCATGTACATAAATACGAAAATTGTTCGAGAAGGTCTTCATCATTTGAATTGAAGTAATTTAATATATTTCTTTTATATGTTTTTATTAAGTGAGGTTTTATTTAACTTTATAATATGTAATTTTTAATTTTATCTTGTTTTCAGTTAAATGTTAAAGTATCTTCAGTTTATCTTGCATGAATTTTTCATTATAAAATTCGAGTCCGGAATTGATTTTATTAACTGGGTTATCTAATATAATAAAAAGTTTATTTTTTTTTCATAAAAAAATGGAAATGAATGCAATAGCATATTTAGAAATCTATTTTGAAATTAGATTATTCGTTTGTATTATACAAACATTTATATTTTTACAAACATATATATTTTCATCTCAGACATTAGATAAGTTACGGACACAGTAAAATTACTGGTTCCATCTTAGAATAAAA